GGCGCCGACTCGAAGATCTTGTCGGGCGGGAAATAGCGGTTCTGGAAGTCGGGAATACTGAACATCACTTGCATTACGGAATTCAAATAACACGAATTGCCCAGATTTGAGAGCCCAGTATAGCCCGCGCCGTACAGTGGCTTCAATTGTGAACCTTCTTCTTGTATTATAGACCATTCGCCCAAACCTTTATTCAAATCAATTTCCAACTCAATCATCGATTTGTCTGTTTTCTCCATTTGCTTCACATTTATGCCGAAATGCGCCAAATGTTTGGCCAGAAGCGGGTCTTCAACCATATCGTCCTCATCGTAAGAATAGACATCTATATTGCAATTAAACCTTCAAATAATTGACACAAAACACACGTCAATATATCATTACCGGCGCCGTCGGCGGTAATGGTTCCGAGTTTGACTGCGAGCGGATATTTAGTCTCCGCGTAATACTCGGACGCGTGATTGTTACCACCCGTGCCGTCAAAGTATTTACGACCGCATAGTATTGTACCGTCGGTTAAATTAAGCCACAAATTATCTCTTTTGTCGCATTTCTCACATTTCCAGCCCTTAGGAGGAATTTTGACGCCATTATCCAATTGCTTCAAATCATTGGCATATCTTCAGTAAATATAAATCAATAGAAATGAGACAATAGTTCGCTTAATGTGTAATATAAAGAGTAATACTTTGAGACAATCCTCTTCTCTCCATCCCAAGTGCCGGCCAATGCCTGCAACTCCTCTAACCTGAAGGCCGCGTCCGACGACAACACCATTGATATTGATTGCAACAACTGTTTGATATTTAATGTTTAATTTAGTATTGAATTTAATGATTAGAGCAAAATGTCATTTGAATACCTGTTCGGGAAGATCGGGGTTTGGGAGAGGAATGACAGTAAATTGCGGTAAAATCACCACTGAATTGATTTCATCGAATTGCTGTTTCGGCTGAGAGTTCACATCAAACCCGCCTTCAATACCGATCGCCAGTTTCGTGATCTTTGGTTTCGTTTCTTCGCAATCGCTTTGAGGCATCTGTGGATCAATTGGTGGTCAGAAACTCACACAACACTACAAAATCAAGACATACTTCGCGAGCGATTCGCTTGAGATTGAGAAACACCGCGTTTCCGGTCTTCTTGTGGTGGAGTTCAACGAAATCTCTGCCAAAACCGAGAAACGTATTCAAACAGACATACAGTCCATCCGGTGATAACTTTGTGGTGCGAAAAGACAATCAATCATTGGATGAGTCAATGAAATGGCAAACAGTTTGGCATTCAATGGATTCAATTACCGGAGAGTCGAAAGAGAAAACACACTCGTCTTTGTATATCTTGTCGTTTTGGACAGGGATTCGGATCTTATGGACGTATGGCTTCAGTGCATCCATGGCTGACATCGTGTCCAACAAATGGGTCAATGGATTCAATCAAAGATCGGATGTAAATCACAATTAAATGTCAACAAAACAAAAGTCGAGTCCAAAAACCAAACGTAAATGAAATGCAATTATTTTTTTCACTCAATATTCAAAGCGATTGAAAACTTTATTTTTAAAACAAAAACTTTGACACAAATAACGACTCATTTTTCAATGACTTTTGCATTTAAATTGTGGGCCAAAAGAGAGCTTCAATTCAATGCATATTTTAATTCATTTAATCACTCATTAAATCAAATGTTTGCCAACAAAATAAGTAAATCATTACAAATATAAATGTATATTAAATTCAAATATTAATCAATGAATTGAATGCATATTCAATGCATTTAAGCACACGTTTGAGTGAAAGGGGGCGCAAATGGGGGGCAAAAAGGGGGGCAAAAAGGGGTCGTAATTACGAGTAAACCAATGAAAGGATGGCTTGAATTGTGTAACGAATGGTTGAAAAGCGCCAAAAATATTGCCATTAAATAGTGTTTTGAATACAAAAGCATTGATTCAGTTATCGTTAGATCACAACAACTGATCCCATATTAAGTGCCAAACAATGGGTTCTTTCGCATCCAAGACGTGGTCTGAAGTCAACGATTATTACTACAAGAATTCGGTGCCAATGAATGGCTCGACAGACAAGAGATGTGAGTCGTTGTGGTCTCGAGTGACTGACGAGTCAACCGATGGTTTGGATCCGCGATCGCCGACACAAGACTTCGACAGAACTCCTATACAAGTGATTGAATACAAACAAAGACACGACATCTCTGTCGATGAGATATCTGGCGAAGCGTTGGCTATAATCGGTTCGTCTGATCCGCGATCGCCGTCGTTAGGCATCGACCGAACGCCTCTTGATTTGGCCGCTAATGAGTCGCCAATCGATGTCCAGATGTCGGCAATGCGTCTCTCGTTTGGCAGTAATGTCACTGATTTGAGTATCACTTCATTGGACAGTCCATTGGTTGGTGAAGACAAACGCAACGACAAGACACCATCGGTTGGCGACAAAGAGACGGCTAGTGGTGAGAGAGTGCGGACGCCGTTGTCTTCAGTGCCGCAAAAACTAACTCCAAATCGAAATGCGATCCGAAATCGAAAACAACTGGAAATCACAAAAAGGGCTCACATTAACAGTCATCTCATGAAGACTAAGTCTATGGCTTCCAACGACACCATCAATACATTGAGTCCACAACTGGCCGTCGAAGACAAAGAAAACCTTTGAATTGATAGTTAGCGGTCTTTGCTTTCAATTTGTAACCATTTTATAGTTTTCATTACATTTGAAACACGACTAAAATATGAATTTTATTTATATGTGTAACACATTTAACACATTTCTCTTAATTTACTTTGCATTTCAAGTCATGTCTTTTTCAACGAAATATAATTATATTTAAAATATTTCTTTTAATTAAATAGCATTTAAGGTAATTATTGTGTATTACTTTATAAACCATAGGTTTATACTATATTTTCATAACTGAAGTACTGTTTGCATTCAAACGGATTGCATTCAAATAAAATCTATTGTAATTTTCATTTCATTTTCAATAAAACTTGTTTTCATTTCTATTCATGTGTGAAAAAATTGATTTCATTTATATTTAATATTTTAATACAGATTTCAATTGATTTGAATGTATATTTGAATTATATATTAAATGTATGGCAAACATAAGAAAACAATCTTCACATATAAAGCATACATTTGAGTAAATATAAGAAACCTATTAATAGTGAGCTAATGATAAAAGTTTTGACGCATTTTGATCTCTAAATAAATTGATGTTCACTTTCACTATATATTATATAATATACAACTATATGTGAAATATTTTGAATCTTATATAACCAGAGCATACATAGAGTACACAGCGCTCTGTAATAGCGATCACAAGTTTGGCTCAAACACTATACAGTATTTGAAGACCATTTACGTAATGACAACACTTTCTCCACTTCTTGAGCCAATTTAATCCTGAATACTAAGACTGACTGTTAGGCACTTACAAACCTCAGGGATTCTTGTTTTTTTCAATGATATATACCNATCGTTAGATCACAACAACTGATCCCATATTAAGTGCCAAACAATGGGTTCTTTCGCATCCAAGACGTGGTCTGAAGTCAACGATTATTACTACAAGAATTCGGTGCCAATGAATGGCTCGACAGACAAGAGATGTGAGCCGTTGTGGTCGCGAGTGTCTGACGAGTCAACCGACGGTCGTTTGGATCCGCGATCGCCGACACAAGACTTCGACAGAACTCCTATACAAGTGATTGAATACAAACAAAGACACGACATCTCTGTCGACGAGATTTCTGGCGAAGCGTTGGCTATAATGGGTTCGTCTGATCCGCGATCGCCGACGTTAGGCATCGACCGAACGCCTCTTGATTTGGCCGCTAATGAGTCGCCAATCGATGTCCAGATGTCGGCAATGCGTCTCTCGTTTGGCAGTAATGTCACGGATTTGAGTATCACTTCATTGGACAGTCCATTGGTTGGCGAAGACAAACGCGACTCTAAGACACCATCGGTTGGCGACAAAGAGACGGCCAGTGGTGAGAGAGTGCGGACGCCGTTGTCTTCAGTGCCGCAAAAACTAACTCCAAATCGAAATGCGATCCGAAATCGAAAACAACTGGAAATCACAAAAAGGGCTCACATTAACAGTCATCTCATGAAGACTAAGTCCATGGCATCCAATGACACCATCAATACATTGAGTCCACAACTGGCCGTCGAAGACAAAGAAAACCTTTGAATTGATAGTTAGCGGCCTTTGCTTTCAATTTTTACCATTTTATAGTTTTCATTACATTTGAAACACGACTAAAATATGAATTTTATTTATATGTGTAACAGATTTATCTTAATTTACTTTGCATTTTAAGTCATGTCTTTTTCAACGAAATATAATTATATTTAAAATATTTCTTTTAATTAAATAGCATTTAAAGTAATTATTATGTATTACTTTATAAACCACAGGTTTATACTATATTTTCATAACTGAAGTACTGTTTGCATTCAAACCGATTGCATTCAAATAAAATCTATTGTAATTTTTATTTCATTTTCAATAAAACATGTTTTCATTTCTATTCATGTGTGAAAAAATTGATTTAATTTATATTTAATATTTTAATACAGATTTTAATTGATTTGAATGTATATTTGAATTATATATTAAATGTATGGCAAACATAAGAAAACAATGTTCACATATAAAGCATACATTTGAGTAAATATAAGAAACCTATTAATAGTGAGCTAATGATAAAAGTTTTGACGCATTTTGATCTCTAAATAAATTGATGTTCACTTTCACTATATATTATATAATA